GAAATCAAAGATCTAAGTAAATGAAAAAATATTTCATGTTCATGCATAGGAAAATTCAACAATGTTGTCAGTACTCCCCAACTTGATCTATAGATGCAATATAATCCCAGTAAAAATCTTAGCAAGTTATTTTTTTTTGGATGCCGACATATTGATTCTAAAGTGTATATGGTAAGGCAAAAGACCCAGAATATCCAACATAACACTGAAGAAGTACAAAGTTGAATGACTGACACTACTCAACTTCAAGACTTACTGTAAAGCTACTACAATCAAGTGTGATATTGTCAAAAGAGCAGACAAATTGATCAGTGGAACAGAATAAATAGCCCAAAAATGGACCCACACAAATATGATCAGCTGATCTTTGACAAAGACACAAAGGCAATTTAATGGAAGAAGAATAATATTTTTAGCAAATGGTGATGGAATGACTGGACATTCATATGCTAAAAAAAAAAAAAAGAATCCAGGCCGGGTGCAATGGCTCATACCAGTAATCCCAGCACTTTGGGAGGCCAAGGCGAGAGGATTGTTTGAGCCCAGGAGTTCAAGACTAGCCTGGGCAATGTAGAGATTTTGAGACTACTAAAAATTTTTTTAAAAATAGCTGGGTGTGGTGATGCATGCTTGTGATCTCAGCTATTCTGGAGGCTGAGGTGGGAGGATTACTTGAGCACAGGAGGTCAAAGCTGCAGTAAGCCATGATCATGCCACTGCACTCCAGTCTGGATGACAGAGTAAGACTCTGTCTCAAAAAAAAAAAAAAAATTCAGACATAGTCCTTACACCTTTCAAAAAATCATCTTAAAGTGGATCTCAAACCTAAATGTATAATGCAAAACTATAAAACTTCTAGAAGATAACATATGAGAAAATCTAGGTGACCTTAGGTCTGGTGATGAGTTTTTAGATGCAACCCTAAAAGCATAATTGATGAAAGAAAAAAATGATAAGCTGGACTCTACTAAAATTAAAAACTTGTGCTCTATGAAAGACATTTAAGAGAATGGAAAGAAAACCCACAGACTAGGAGAAAATATTTGCAAAATGTATATATCTGATAAAAGACTTGCATCTGAAAATACCAAAAGAACTTTTAAAACTCAACAATAAGGAAACAAACAACCCAATTTTAAAATGGACAAATGATATGAGCAAACACCTCATCAAAGAAGATATACAGATGGCAAATAAGCGTATAAAAAGATTCTAAATGTCATATGTCATTCAGGAATTGAAAATTAAAACAATGAGATCCACTAACACCTATTAGAATGGCTATTTTTTAAAAAACTGACAATACCAAATGCTGGTGAGGATGCAAAGCAATAGAAAATGCTCTTCCATTGCTGGTGGGAATGCAAATGGTATAACCACTTTGGAAGACGATATGGCAGTTTCTTACAAAACTGAACATAGTCCTGTCATCTGAACCAGTAATCATGTTCCTAGGTATTTACCCAATTAAATTGAAAATTATGTTCACATAGAAGCCTACATATGAATGTTTGTAGCTACTCTATTCATTATCACCAAAACTGGAGGCCACCAAGATGTCCTTCAATAGGAGAATGAATGAACAAACTACAGTACATTCATCAGTGAAGTATTGTTCAGAGATAAAAAGAAATGAGGTCATTGGCAAAGCCTGAGTCCTTTCCTCTCACTTTCCTCCCTGGCCAGCATGAGGTTCACCACTTGTTCCACCTTCTCCAACTACCAGTCCCTGGGCTCTGTCCAGCCACCAAGCTATGGCGCCTGGCTGGTCAGCAGTGTGGCCAGCATCTGTGTAGGCGCTGGGGGCTCTGGTTCCCAGATCTTTGTGTCCTGCTGCACTAACTTCCAGGGCGATATGGAGTCTGGAGGCCTGACCATGGGGATGGCTGGGAGTCTGGCAGGAATGGGAGGCATCCTGAATGAGAAGGAGATCATGCAAAGCCTGAATGACCACCTGGCGTCCTACCTGGACAGAGTGAGGAGCCTGGAGACTGAGAACAGGAAGCTGGAGAGCAAAATCCGGGAGCACCTGGAGAAGAAGGGACCCCAGGTCAGAGACTGGAGCCATTACTTCAAGACCACTGAGGACATAAGGGCTCAGATCTTCACAAATACTTTGGACAATGCCCACATAGTTGTGCAGATCGACAGGGCCCATCTTGCTGCTGATGACTTCAGAATCAAGTATGAGACAGAGCTTGCCATGCACCAGTCTGTGGAGAGTGACATCAGTGGGCTCCACAAGGTCATTGATGACACCAATGTCACTTGGCTGCAGCTGGAGACAGAGATCGAGGCTCTCAAGGAGGAGCTGCTCTTCATGAAGAAGAACCATGAAGAGGAAGTAAAAGGCCTACAAGCCCAGATTTCCAGCTCTGGGTTGACCATGGAGGTAGATGCCCCCCAATCTCAGGACTTCGCCAAGATCATGGCAGACATCTGGGCCCAATATAATGAGCTGGCTCGGAAGAGCTGAGAGGAGCTAGACAAGTACTGGTTTCAGCAGATGGAGAAGGGCACCACAGTGGTCACCATATAGTCTGCCAAGGTTGGAGCTGCTGAGATGATGCTCATGAAGCTGAGATGTACAGTCCAGTCCTTGGAGATTGACCTGGACTCCATGAGAAATCTGAAGGCCAGCTTGGAGAACACCCTGAGGCAGGTGGAGGCCCAGATGGAGCAGCTCACTGGGCTCATGCTGCACCTGGAGTCAGAGCTGGCACAGACCTGGGCAGAGGGACAGCCCCAGGCCCAGGAGTACAAGGCCCTGCTGAATATCAAGCTCAAGCTGAAGGCTGAGATCACCACCTACCACTGCCTGCTGGAAGATGGTGAGGACTTCAGTCTTAGTGATGCCCTGGACAGCGGCAACTCCATGCAAGTCATCCAGAAGACCACTACCCACCAGATAGTAGGTGGCAAAGTGGTGTCTGAGAACAATGACACCAAAGTTCTGAGACATTAAGCCAGCAGAAGCAGGGTACCCTTTGGGGAGCAAGAGGCCAATAAAAAGTTCAGAGGTTAAAAAAAAACAACAAAAGAAATGAGCTATCAAACCTTGAAAACACATGGAGGAAGCTTAAATGTATATTGCTAATTGAAAGAGCCAATATGAAAAGGCTTCATAATATATGATTCCTGTAAGAGTTAAAGAAAGGAAAGAAACATGGAAAATGGCTTGACAGTCAAAGACAGGTTTATTTTGGAGAATAAACCTGAGAGGGGCTTCTGACCGATTTGGGTCAGAAGCACTCTCTCTTACAGACTAAGACTATTTATTTTAGAGTGAGAGAACTTACCACAAGCTTGGAATGTTTCTCTGTGGGGGAAAAGTTTATGGTGGGGTTGGACTGTCTCTGATGGGAGAGGCAGTTATCCTGGGGCTGACATCTCTCTGGCCAGAGGGGAGGTTATCTCAGGGCTGGCATGTCTCTGGTCAGGGAGGGGTTTGGAATGTTTCTAGTTGGAGATGTTATTTGTGGTTTATGGTCATGCTTAGCTTAGCCATTAGGCTGATGCCCTTTGGATTTACATGGTTTTTGATCAAGGTGAACTTTAGAATGGCAGTGCTTATCCAACAAGATGGCGATGCTCCTGCTCTGTCAATTCCAACTCTATGATATTTTGGAAAAGGCAAAATTGTAGAGATAGTATGTAAAAAGGGGGTTGGAGCCAGACATGGTGGCTCACGCCTATAATCCCAGCACTTTGGGAGGCCAAGGTGGGTGGATTATGAGGTCAGGAGTTCAAGACCAGCCTAGCTAACATGACGAAACCCTGTTTCTACTAAAGATACAAAAAATTAGCCAGGCATGGTGGTGCATGCCTGTAATCCCAGCTACTTGGGAGGCTGAGGCAGGAGAATCGCTTGAACCTGGGAGGGGGAGGTTGCAGTGAGCCGAGATCACACCGTTGCATTCCAGCCTGGGCGACAGGGCAAGACTCCGTCTCAAAAAAAAAAGTGGGGGGGCGGATTGGAGAGAGGAAGGGGTGGGATGAAGAGGCGAAACAAAGGATATTTAGAGTAGTGAAGCTATTCTATATGATATATAATTGTAGATGGTTGTCCTTATGCATTTGTCAAAACCCATAGAAGTATCTAGACAATAGAAGAGTAAACTTTAATGTAAACTATATAGTTAATAATAATGTATCGGTATTGGCTCATTAATTATAACAAATGCACCACACTAATGCAAGATGTTAATAATAGGGAAAACTGTAGGGGTGGAGGTGGGGTTAGGGTGGAGGTAGGTACATTGAACTCTGTGTACTGTCTGCTCAATAATTCTGTAAATCTAAAACTGTTCTAAAAATCTATTAATTATTTTAAAAATTGTTGACTTAAGACAACACTGATGTTAAACTGGTAGCAATATCCTATCTGAGAGGTGAGGCAATTCCAGCTGCCTCTGTGTGCTTTGCCCACTACCCTGGTTTTCAATAGTAATCAGGCTTACTAGTGGGATTCTGAATTAGGGCTCTTGGTAACTTTAGTTCTTAGAAATTTTAGTTTACAAAGCCAGCTTTGTGAAACTCTCAATAACTCACTTTTCTGATAAGTAGTCTCTGTAGTCCTTGATTGTTAGTAAAAATGGCCCTCAGTAGAAATGCATATGACTTTCCCCTAACAATCAAAGAGAGCACTTGGCATTTTGAACTACATCTGTGACCCACTAAGGGACTTTCCCCTGAACCACATGTCATAAGTCATATCCAGTAATCACTGTTCTGGACAAGCAAGAACGGGGAATTGGGAGTTCTGCTCATTCTAACAGAATTCTAATTATAGCACTGAGGGTATTCCCTCCAGCAACTGTTGATTTGGTTCATTACTAGAGCTCTGTCAAACCCAAGCCTCAGGGCAATGACCCCATCCTGGCATTCCGTGTCTTCCGTTTTGCTTCTGCAGCCCAATCTCTTCATAACTGATGGATATTATGGGAAAATGCCAATTTTCAGTAACCCTGCCTCTCCTGTCTTTTGTGCTGTGCCCACAGAATGCCCTCCTATCCACATTGGGCTTCCAGTACCCACGTACCCTCAAAGAAAAACTGACCAGAAGGGACATCTTTCGGGCCTGCAAAAAGTCCACTGGGGCCTGCGGCCAGACCAGCCACAGCAGGAACTGACTGGCCCAGGGAGTGGGGCAAGCAGCCGGGACAGCAGCGTGGATCTTATCAGCAGGACTCGTGAGTTCCTTGAGCGGTGCATTCTGGGGAGCCATCGTGCTGGTGTGTCCAGATGGGACCCAGCAGGGCAGGGGGGATTTTCTGGAGAATGTGGGTAATGCTCCACATGGCTCAGCCTAGCTTCTCAGGCCCCCTCTGCTCTGCTTCCATTTTTGGCCAGCCTTCCTGCTCATTGACCCTTTTGGTCAGACTGAAGCCCTCTGTCTTTCTCTAGGGACTTTGAGACCTCCACTGTGATCCATTCTGTGTTGATTTCATGGTTTAATTCTCAGAATTATTTCCCTCATTTCCAAATTCCAAGGACCATACGGTCGTTGCTCTAAGAACCAATAATGGACATGCTTGTTTTGTACAAGACATTGTGTTCAGTAAACTGAAGTTCTTGTTACATTAACTCCACCCTCTCTCCTCACTGGAACTGAAAGGCCTGGTACAGAATTGTCTAGTCACCCTGCATTATAGCTTGCAAGACACCTAGGAAGCTTTCTCCCAGGACAACAAAGACCCCAGGACTGCCTCTACTCCTTCAGAAAACAGCACTGGGCTAATTAAAAATCAGTCTTTTGCTCTTTCCTGTGGAAAGAAAATTATCAATCTTAAGAGGAGTAAAAATAGCTGGAATCCTTAGAGCACAAATATGACATTTTATTTTCTAGACTTTACTGATGTTTCTGGGGACGTGATTTCACTCTCAGCATATCCCAAACCTGCCTAATAAATAGTATTAGTTTGGTTTCTACTGTATATATAGCTCACTGTCTTAAGCATG